AGAGAGAGAGAGGTTAAGAAGAGCTGCCGAATATACCAAAAAATTAGTTAAGAGTATAAATTTTGTTTTTCATCTCTAAACAAAAAGAAAAAGCCGGACAAGAATATTATTAAGAGTTGCCAAAAATTGGTTTTGAAATGGCAGGTTTTTGGACATAGCAAAACAAAATGGCCTTCAATTCAAATCAGAAAGTTTAAGCCCTAAAATTTAAATGAAAATCAGATATAACAGAGCAAAATTGTTTCTCTTTTCTCTTCAATTGATCTCTGGAGTTCCAATAAGAAGTTGAGTCACAGGAATTAATCATATTGACCAAATGGCTATAAGATTACCAAAAAAGAATAAAACAGTCATGGGAACTACCGAAGGTTCACAAATTGTGCAATAAAGATTCTGGAAAAAAAATATATAGATTTCTTATTCCCGACACCCACTGTGAATAAGGCAGCGAGGTGGTAGTCAAAAAGTCTAAACTAAGAGCATGGGAGAGTGGCAACCAAAAATTGTGCCAACTACCATGATTTAGAGGGGGGAAAAGATAAGCTACCACTGAGAAAGAGAGAAAAAGGAGGTGATTTGTCATGCAGTTGGCACGGAGAACAGGAGCAGAGGCTGGAAGTTAAGAAACAAATGGAATTATTAAGACACATCAAAGTACATATTGTCACTTTTATCTTGATGTTTTCATGGCTGGTAGTGTTTTGGTACAAATTTAGAACAACCATTTGATAGAAAAGATCAATAACCCTGGGACTGTGGTGGTGTTAGATTTTTTTTTTTTTTTTTTGCGTTAGTAGTTATAACTTAAAAAGGTTGGTTTCTAATCATTCTATAGTAGTAGTTAAAAATATAGAGACACAGTATCAAAAGTTAGTGCAGAAAGTCCTCAATAATTTACTTTATACTTCTTACAATCCAAAAGGACAAGTGAGTTTTGAGAACTCCAACAATTACAGTAGGAAAATCTTCACATATTATAATGGTACACGTGTTATTTATTTTAAAAAAGAAAAAAAACAAGAAGACGTGCATTCCTACCTGAAAAAGAGTAAAATGAATGAGAAAGAGGACCAACTTAGGGCTACCAAACCAAAAGTGCTTGTCGTTGAGTTGCACGAGTGGCATTCCTTGGACAACAGCATGCCTTTCTTGGATTTCAAGGGCCATGTTTGTGATGATAGCTTGGAGCTTTGTCCCCACAGCCAAGATTATCTGCAATCAATGCACTAAGCTCAATAAAATGCTTCAGGCCCCAAGCATCAATTGCATTTGATGGCCAAATAGGACAAGAAACACTTACTACTAAGGGAATTAAGGTTACCCAGAACAGTGCATACCAACCTGCACAAATAAAAGTTATCCAGTAAATTGACCGCAAAATGTTGAAGTAACTTTTAACTGAATGTTGAATCATCGACATTTACAATAACTTTTAACTGAATGTGAACGTACAAAGAGAAACTCACCATTCACATTAAGAAGCAAAAAGATCACAGCTGAAGCCCATAGAACTGGACTGCTCATACAAAAAGAAAGACAATTAGATGATCACATCAAGAAATGGTAGCAAATTAAAATAAAACATGGGTGATAGTGTCAAGAGTGCCAGTGTCTTGAAAAATCTTATAATAACAAACAAAAGGAAGATCTCTTCCTAGTAGACCTAGGATTGTTTCCCACAAAACAACACTCATTTGCAATCTCCCTCCCTCCCTCCCTACTACCTGTTTGGACATTGATGCCATCTCCCTCCCTCCTGCCATCCTGTCTTTCCCAATTGTCAAACTATCATCTTTACCATTGCAACTTCAAACTACCTCTTTGTATACTGACGCATCACATACTACCACTTTGGACATTGACGTTTTTATCTTGCTACTATCTCTTCCGCAATGGACCTCTGGTCTCTCTCACAAACTGACTCCATTGCCCCTTTAATTCATTTACTAAAAAGGGAATCTTAATGACAGCAACTGCTGACTACATAAATACCCAAGTCATCAACACAACCACTGTTTTCCATGGGTACCATAAAGAGTATAATGGGAAGATGGAGACTTTAATTTTAGGAAGGTGGTATATTGTCTTTAACTTTTGTGAGATAATTACATGTATAGATGAGATTTAAAAAATAATTTTCGTGCTTATAGCAAAGAAATCGTGGTTGTGTAAGTAAATAGAGAGATGGGCACCAGAGAAACTGAACTGGAATGTACTAGGCTTGAGAGCTAGTATAAATGTGAGAGAGGGGGAGAGATAAAGGGAGCTGAGCTATGAAAAGAGCCAAGCGGGAGAGACAGTTGAATATAGAGAGACCGGTCGTTGCAACCCAGTGGGAGAGAAGTTTTGTTTCTAAACACACATCAAGAAAATAATCCAGGAAATAGAATGTGCATAATAACCTTATAATGAAAACTATATTGGAGAGGTCAATTTCACTAGGTTGGTACAGGACACCACAAGTATTCCTTACGAAGCCCTGCTGAAGTTTAAGCAAACAATTTCTCTGACATTTCAGTTTACATTGTGTAAGAGTATTCAATCCTAAGTTATCTATTCAGTAATGTTCTAATCATAGCATCTTCTACTCTTCAAGATTAACTGTCGAACATGCATCTATTATATTTTCAGTTGTATTCATCAAGCAGAGAGTTCCTTCTGTGATATTTGGCAATATAAAGTATTAAGAACCCATTCCCCATAGGAATGTTTGCAGTGATTTTGCTAATTTAAGGCTACACAAAATACATAAGGATTACTATTTCATACCTGATCCCCACGACCTCCTTGAAGTCATCCTCCAATGATCTTTTTATATATTTTTGAAAGTCAAACTTGCTGCCAGGAGCCAAATGAACCTAGAACACAAAGATAAAGCTGATCAGGCACGGCATCATATCTGAACCATAGAGGATTTAATATAACCTAGCAATACCAATAAAATAAAATTAAAAAGAAACCCACAGCAATGAAACCATGTCGCATGGTCAAGTAATCAGCCTTTCGCACTGAACGGAAGAATTGTCGAAAGAAGCATACCTACAAGTAAAAGATCCGACAACCACACAAAAATTATCAGAAAAAAAAAACTCAACGGTATCTAAGAAATCACAAAGAAACACACGCAACCCCATGCTGAATCTGCAGGATGTTGGCACTACAAGGAGCATGAGTAATAAAGCTAAGTTTAGAATAAAAAGCGAGAGAGTGAGAGAAAGAGAGAGAGAGTGAGAGAAAGAGAGAGAGACCCACAGTGAGAGAGAGAGAGCCGACGGGGGGGTGGGACGGGGGGGGGGGGGTGGGGGGTGGGGGTGGGGGGGCAGCATATTTAGAGAAGTATTTCCACATCTACAATATCTAAGGAATATAAAAATCTTACAATGTGGAAAATGAAAGGTATCTTATTCCAGAAACTTGAGTGTGCTCTCACAAAGGATGTATCGTGAGCAAATCTGAATCTCGTAGGATCTGTTTGTTGACAAAAAAACCAGTTTAGAATAGTGACATTGTAAAAAAGTCTGTGAACATGTGAGATATGATGATACAAGTAGTGCCATATGTTCCAATGGAGGGTGATCAACTAGATTCATGTGTATATAGTAAGAGACACTGATACAGAATTGCTAGAATGAAATCTTGAGCTGGAGAGCAAACAACTGATAATAGAGTGTAAAAATATCCATGTGTTAATGTCTAAATCAAGGACATATTACCATGTGAAGATTCGTAGTTTAGGGATTGAGTTTCCTTCTCCCATTCTTTCCACCTGCGAATCTGCATAATCAGCAAACAACCTTGGCATGGGTCATATGGACACATATAAGTCTGAAGGGATCACAAGTTTAATATCCTAGCAACCTAATGCTCTCATTAATTGAAGAGGAAAAGGGAACAGAAAAAATAGAAACCCACCTTCGCTCTTCCAAGGGCCATCACTACAGCACTGAAGATGACATGAAAGACCGCAAGGAAAAAAATGAAGATGTGTAACTGATGTATTGCATTTGTAGAGACAAGTGATACCTTTCCCTGTAGATAGAATGGCAGGAACAAATTCAGAAAAGTTACAACAGTTGCATCAAGTTCCCTTTCTCAACATTCAAAAAACAAAAAACAAAAAAAAAAAATATTGAAGTAGTTATATCAAAGAAAAATGGTTTAATTGTTTAAATATAAGACAGAATAACAGATCACACAAGGCCACACAACTGATTCACTCTAAACAAAAAAATATTGGCTCTAGCCAGATAAACAAAAGAGAATAAGATAATAAAATTACCTCAGCCCTTTTAAAGAACGTGCCTCAGACAATCAAATCTCATCAGAACCCAAAGGACAAAACATAAAAATATTCATCTACCAAATTTCTGTAAGTTGGAATAAAAAGTACATCTTTGAAATAAATAAAGAAAATAAAAAAATACGATAAAAAATTTGGGATAGGGAAATATGAGTTCGCAAGCAATCAAAATGAATAACAGTAGAAAGAAAAGAAATGAAACAATTTGAGGCTCAGTCACAATACGACTTCTTCCAGAACCTAACATGCATCCCATCAAACCACATCTGCTCCCTACTTCTAGTCTCCTTGAGAAACAAGACCTAGAGCTTTTGATCCGTAAAAGTTTCAGCAACCTTTTAGCCATATATATTTTTTAATAAATAAACACAGCATTTTAGCCATCAACTTCTTCTATTTATCATGTGCTCCCGCTTGTACTATTTTATTTTTTCTAATTTTGTTTTTTGTCTAGAGTAACATGTACAAAGGAAGTATAACGGCAGAAATGTATAGAGGAAGCATTACACAGTAACATCATAATAGAAAAATATACAAGACATGTTCTCATAATCTGGCGCCTCTCACTAACTATGAACTCAAAATCATGCCATTCCAAACTTGGTGCATACATGACTGCTATGTCCAAGGGAAATTGTGAGATATTTTGGGAAAGTAATAGAAGTCACATATTCCCTTTCTAACTATAATTTGGGAGTTTCCCTACAAATCATGAGAAATGAATTGCCAAACCAGTAAAAAGGAAGTGGACAACCTACACAAGTGCCCAAAAGGACGAGGGAACAGCCTCCTAGTCAGGATCACAGCACAGGATCCCACTCAAAAGTACCACCCACCCTCTCCTCACATGCAATGCCAATGATGTGAAGTAATAAAAATTGAGAAGTACATGGAAGCGTGCGAATATTTTTGAAGAAACAAAGAACGCATCCAGATTATTTATTGAACTACAGTTTCTTGTTAACCAAGAACATTTAGTACCTAACACTTTCAAAAAAAAATAACAATTCGTGGAATGAAGCAATGCAGGCCGCAAAAGATGACATTAGTCATTTAGTGCAAAGAAAAATAGGCCCCAGCAATGGATCTTGCATAGCTCGTTCACCCTTCGGGTGACCCCATGTAATTTGTAGACAAACTCTATCACTAATTTGTAAAGAAAATGGTAATTTAGAAGCTCGTAATCATCCTATAGAAAGAAGCACACTTTACCAACTACAATTTGCAGCTTCTATTTTTTCCTAGAGAAAGAAATTGGAAAGATGAAGGAACTATAGTCATCAAACTGGAAAACAGAGGCTTGTCAGAAATGTCTGGGGCTTCTAGGTAGGCCAAAATCAGCATTCTGAGAGAGAGAGAGAGAGAGAGAGATGGTAATTTCTTTTATCGAGCTTGTTTAGTTTCTCAAGTCGATTCTCCTCGGTCATTTTCTTTGGTTTCTGCAATAATATCTTTTGAGCAAACCTTACTTCCCCTTCCACAAGGCAAAAAGAGCAAATTACTTTGGACAAAAGTAAACATGAGATAACACATTCCTCATCTCCAAAAAGAAACTCATCAAAAATACAAACAACCAGTGCAACATAGAGAAAAGGGTGCCTATAGAGATCGAACCAGTCAGAAAAAAGCTAAAAAACAGATCACATAATTATTTTCCTTCTTAACTTACATAAATGAATGCAGGAAATTCAAAGTGAACTGTCAAACTAAGGAAAGAACTATTAATAACCTTGGAACATGAAGCTGTAGAATCAGCACCAGCCAAGCTGCGTCGTACACCATTTACGAATAATTCATCAAACAAAAACCTTTTTGAAAATTTTTTATTCGTTTTTACATTTGCAGCCTTGCATGGAAGCATCGTGTCTGCAACATGGTCAGGAATACAAATCTTGGCAATATAGCTCTGCCCAAACGTCAGCAGCAATGAAATGAAACCAAGAATCATCAGCTCTGCAAAGCACAATCAGATTAAGCCCATCAGTCATGTTCCCATCATTCTAAACTCAAGCAAATAATTTAGAAGAAAGAGATATCCAAGTGAAAAACAGAGTTCGACTTCTTCTAAGTGAAAAAACAAAGCCACTCTATAAAAGATAAAGATATTTATAAAAAGGGTATCAAAAGATGTTTATAAAGGGGATTTCTCCCTCAATATATAATAAGAAAGCAGCCATGGTGAACAATCCAAGGAACAGTCAACAAAAGAATAATGAAAATTATAAATTCATTAGTAAAGCCCACATGAAATTACTCAGATCCATGTGCACCACAAAAGGCTAATTCGAATACGGAAATGACATATTGTAAATGAATATGAAGCAACATGCCAGCTCTAGTCTACTGAAAACTCAAAAGCCACCGTGTAAGTAGAGAGAGTTAGCCTAATGCCAAGGATGATCTTGATTAAAGAAAACAAAAACAAAAAGGAATACCAGCAAAAACTCAAGCTCAAAATCATGTATACTAAAACATTTTACCATAATAAGGGATTAAAAGACCCAAAAAGTTTAACTATATCAAGAAACAGGAAACCATACAAGCTCAGTAAATTAAAACCCAAATTTCACTTCAATACCTGCTTTAACCTTCTCCAGAGCTTCAAACATGGACATCTTCTTCCGCTTTGTGAACCACTGAAACCAAATGATACCAAAGTTAAGACACAAGAAATCCTTTTTCTAAAAACCTCAAAAACCCAATCTCACCAATATTTCCAATGATTTCATAATAAAACGATTAAATTTACCTCTCCCACATGATGAAGGCCCTTCTCCAATAAGATGGAGATTAAAAGGATAACTGCACAAACAGCAGCAACAGCCCAAGTTGGGGTTTGCTCCAAAGTCCTAGAATCCCCACCACCCCCACCTGCCATGGCTTAAAAACCCAAATATTTACAGAGAACCACAGAAAAACTCGTTTTCTTTTCTGCAACTATAGCAAAATGGAACTAAGCCTAGATTTACAAAAAAAAACCCCAACTCTTCTGCAAAATATTACTCTTCAAATGGAATTAAACCTAGATTTGCAGAAGACTGCTACTACACAAACTAGATGTGGTTGGTAACGGTTTTTTTCTTCAAATGGAACTAAACCTAGATTTGCAGAGGACAGCTACTACATGTGGCTGATAACTGTTTTTTCTCCATCCCTCTCTCTCTAATTGTTCTCTCTCTGTTTTCTGCTTGTCACCTTTCATTCTAAGTCTCTCTCGCACGATAACCCCTTTCCCTTCCACGCTAATTCTCCTTCTTTGTCCTCTCTTGTCTACCCTCTCGTGTCCCTTTCTTCCTCTGCCCTAAAATCTCTCTATCTTAGCTGAAACTAAGAATTTGAGCTGAAACCGCAAGATTCAGAAGTCTTCTTCTCCATGAAACTAAGAATTTGAGCTGAAGAATAGTATTTATAGGGAGTGGAAAATGGGTTGAGGATCCAGGGGAGGCACCTCCCATGAGCATTGAGTAGGAGTGGAAACTGAAAAACTCAATTTGACCGGAAAGAAAACCATGATTTACATAGAATGGTAGCTTTGGGGACATTGACGTGGTAATGTTTGCCTGACTGTAAAATAAAAGGAAAATTGTTTCACATTGAATCTGGAGAAAGACCAAAATAAAAAAATATACAGTTTTATTTACAAAAGGATTCACATTGAATCTACAGAAAGACCAAAATAACCCGGATGTTTTATAGTTTGACCCACATTTAAAGTGCTTTACAAAATTAAGAAAGAAAGGGAAAAGATTTTTGTAACCGACAAGGGCAGTCCTATAAAAAGAGAAGCTTTTAGGTGAGGGTGTGGTTTATGCAAATTTAGGCGCATCTCCCACTTTTATCATAACGTGTCATTTTGGAGTAAAACAATTTTAGGATTATCTGAAACTTTATTTTTATATTTAATTATAAAATTTTAAACTTCAAAAATAATTAAAATCTATCGAGATATAAAAAACTTGAAAATGGACGGTCTAGATAATATGTTGCAAGATGCACTATTTTTAGGATTCAAAATTGTTTTTTTTTTCATATTCATATATCTTGATGTCGAGATTATCAATTAGATGGTTTTTAAAAAAATTTAAAAAAATTCCGATAGATTTTTGAGGTGCATATGCATTTCTACATTTTAATGTTGCAACCTTATATAAACGTTTTCCTTTAGGTAAAGGATGTGGTTTCTATAAGGTTGCAACTTTAAACAAGGTGCACCTCCGACTTTCATCATAACATGTAATTTTGGCGTAAAAAATTATTAGGATTATCTTGAAATCTATTTTTATCTCTAATTATAAAAGTTGAAACTCTAAAAATGGTTAAAATCATAGATTTATAAACATATGAAAATCTTGAAAGTAAACGATTTAGATAATGTGTTATAATATGCACTATTTCTGGGACTAAAAATCTTTTTTTTTTTTTACATATTCATGCATCTCGATGTCGAGATGATCGATTAGATGGTTTTTCAATATTAAAACAACCTTTTTTGATGGATTTTTTAGGTGCATATGTAATTTTACATTTTAAGGTTGCAACATTACATAAAATTTTTCCTTACGTAAAATTATTATCATCATTGGCATCTTTATTATGGAAAATTATTTGATGGCGGTTGGACCGCATTTCTACATATGCGGTCCAAAATAGTATAAAGCATCCATTTTAAAGATGGATGCAAGTAGGTGTTCCATCTAAAAAAACAATGGAAACTAACAATCCAAATATTTTCATACTATAATTGTTTTTCTAGTATGTAAAATTTATTTATTTTTTAGTATTCATGTCCTTAAAAATAAAGTCAAAAAATCAATCTCAAAACTAGATTTATTAATAGGCTCGCATTTCTATATATGCGAGTTTAGCTGCATAGAAACTGGGTCGTTTTATTATTGAAGCCTTATTTTGATTGTTTGGGATAGGAAGAAAAAGTAAACCTATATTATAAAAAGAAAATTGTTTCATGCGGGCTAGACCGCATTTCTACACATGTAGTTCATAAAGTATAAAGCATCTATTTTAAAAATGAATGTAAGTAGGTGTTCCATCGAAAAAAAACAATGAAAACTAACGGCGGTCGAAAAGATGGATGATCCTGCTCCATATCTACCGCCTCGAGGACCACCAAAAGTTCCTCTTCCTGCCCCATATCTACAGTCATTTATTGGATGGTTTAGGAGAAACCCTAAAATTTTCCGAATGGCAAATAAATATGAGGTTTTGATAAAAATTGAAATAGAGACGCGAAAAATCTATAGATTTAAATAGAAGAACATTACATTGGGCAAGAATTTGGATTGTATTAGAACTCATGGGAAAAAATTTACACAAATCAATCTT